TATTTTATTTTATATTTTATTATTTTATTTATATTTTATTTTATTTTATTTATTTTATTTTATTTTTATTTTATATTTTATTTTTTTATTTTATTTTATTTTTTTATTTTATATTTTATTCTATTTTATTCTATTTTATTCTATTCTATTCCATTTTATTTTATTATTTTATTTTATTTTTTATTTTATTTTATTTATATTTTATTTTATTATTTTATTTTATTTTATATTTTATTTTATTTTATTCTATTTTATTTTTTATTCTATTCTATTTTATTCTATTCTATTTTATTTATTTTATTTTATTTTATATTTTATTTTATTTTATATTGAGACAGAGTCTCGCTCTGTCGCCCAGGCTGCAGTGCAGTGGCCTGATCTCGGCTCACTGCAACCTCCACCCTCCCGGGTTCAAACGATTCTCCTGCCTCAGCCTCCCGAGTAGCTGGGACTACAGGCGCCCGCCGCCACGCCCGGCTAATTTTCGTATTTTTAGTAGAGGCGGGGTTTCACCGTGTTGGCCAGGCTGGTCTTGAACTCCTGACCTCAGGTGATCCGCCCGCCTTGGCCTCCAAAGTGCTTGGATTACAGGCGTGAGCCACCAGGCCTGGCCTGCTTTTTTTTTTTTTTTGAGACAGAGTGTCAATCTGTCACCCAAGCCACCACACCCCGCCCCTAATTCTTTAATTCTTATTTTTTGTAGCCATGGTGCCCAGGCTGGAGCCAATCCTCTGGCCTCATCTCTTCTCTTATTTTGAGACAGAGTTTTGCTCTTTTGCCCAGGCTGGAGTGCAGCGGTGCGATCTCAGCTCACTGCAGACTCCGCCTCCCGGGTTCAAGCGATTCTCCTGCCTCAGCCTCCCGAGCAGCTGGGGTTACAGGTGCATACCACCACGCCCGGCTAACTTTCATATTTTTAGTAGAGACGGGGTTTCGCTGTGTTGGCCAGGCTGGTCTTGAACTCCTGACCTCGGGTGATCTGTCCCTCCTCGGCGTCCTGAAGTGCTGGGATGACATCTGAGCCACCACGCCTGGGCCACGTGGCTGGCTGCAGCCTCCGCCTCCCGGGTTCAAGCAGCTCTCTTGCCTCAGCCTCACAAGTAGCTGGGATTACAGGCGTGCACCACCACACCCAGCTAATTTTTGTGTGTGTTTTTAGAGTAGACGGGGTTTCACCAGGTTGGCCAGGCTGGTCTCGAACTCCTGACCTCAGGTGATCCGCCCGCCTCGGCCTCCCGAAGCGCTGGGATGAGGGGTGTGAGCCATGGAGCCCGGCCTTCCCTGAGCTGTGGGACTCATGCCGGACTCTGCCCCGCCCCCTCCGTCCCCCCAGGACACGCTCACGGAGATCTCAGAGTGGCTGGAGCAGCACCCTCATGAGGTCGTCATCCTGGCCTGCAGGAACTTCGAGGGGCTGACCGAGGACCTGCACGAGTACCTGATCTCCTGCATCAAGACCATCTTTGGGGACATGCTGTGTCCCCGCGGGGTGAGTGACGAGGGAGGGGGACGGCCACAGGTGTCGCCCAGGGCCCGGAGATCCTCACCCTCCCCCTGCATTTGCTTACGTGGTACCCTGGGTGTGGCTGCTGCCGTGACCCCGGCAGCAGGTGGCGTTTGGAACAACAGCAGATCCCAGCCCTCCTGCAGGCCGACCTGGAGCTGGGGGTGGCTCCTGGTGAGAACGGCTGCCCGTGATGGCTTTAGAGATCTGCATACCAGAGCCGGGCGCGGCGGCGCACGCCTGTCATCCCAGCACTTTGGGAGGCCGAGGCGGGCGGATCGCAAGGTCAGGAGTTCGAGACCAGCCTGGTCAATACGGTGAAACCCTGTCTCTAAAAATACAAAAATTAGCCGGGCGTGGTGGCGGGGGCCTGTCATCCCAGCTACTCGGGAGGCTGAGGCAGGAGAATCGCTTGAACCCGGGAGGCGGAGGTTGCGGTGAGCCGAGATCGCGCCATTGCACTCCAGCCTGGGTGACAGAGCGAGACTCCATCTCAAAAAACACCAAAACAGGGGGTTAGGGGACGGATAGCAGGGGGTAGGGGGATTGGGGAGGGAGAGCATTAGGAGAAATACCTCATGTAGATGACGGAGGGATGGATGCAGCAAACCACCACGGCATGTGTGTACCTGTGTAACAATCCTGCAACATCTGCACATGTGCCCCAGAACTTAAAATTCAAAACAAAAAATGGCCGGGCGCGGCGGCTCACGCCTTTAATCCCAGCATTTTGGAGGCCGAGGCGGGCGGATCAGCAGTGGTCGGGAGTTCGAGACCAGCCTGGCCAACATGGTGAGACCCCGTCTGTACTAAAAATAAAAAAAATGAGCCGGGCGTGGTGGCGGGTGCCTGTCATCCCAGCTACTCCGGAGGCTGAGGCAGGAGAAGGCCTTGAACCCGGGAGGCGGAGGCTGCAGTGAGCTGAGATCGCACCTCTGCACTCCAGCCTGGGCCACAGAGTGAGACCCCGTCTTCAAAACGATATATGAGCAGCATCTTCCTGGCTCCAGGAGCCCCCCCGCATCAGGGTCTGTGTTTTTTTTACCGTGACCCCAGACAGCAGCCTCAGAAGGGCCGAGATGTGCCCAGGAGCCGCCGGTCTGGATGCCGCAGGCCATGGTCACGGCGTCCTGAAGGTACCCAGAGAGGGTGCCCTGAGCTCCCCACAGGTCTGTTCCTGGCTACACGGGTTCCTCCAATCCCCTCGTAAAAAGTTTTTAAATTCTTAAAGTTTTTATTTATTTATTTAATTTTATACATATTTTTGGAGATGACGTTTCACTCTGCCGCCCAGGCTGGAGTGCCGTGGCGCGATCTCGGCTCACCGCAGCCTCCGCCTCCCGGGTTCAAGCGATTCTCCTGCCTCAGCCTCCCGAGTCGCTGGGATGACAGGCACCCGCCACCAGGCCCGGCTAATTTTTTTTTTTTTTTT